CGCTCACATCCTGTTAAAACCGCTCGAGCGCCTAGAGGGCAGCCAGCTAGCTATTTCTAAGGATTCGTCAATATTTTCAACATATCTTTTTCTCCCAATATCAGATTGAGGTGATTCAAAGTGTATTGAAAAGATAACTCAAAATGCTACAATTCTTATATATCATGTTTCCAATTCGAATGTTTTCTTTGCTAAAAATGCGTCCCAATCCGTGACTAATTTGGAGTATAACACGTGCATCACTTTGACACTTCTTTGACTTCTAATTACATCACATTGATCATATATGATCTTTTTGGACATTTCATAATTTTCTTGAGCCGACGTTGAGTCCTTCAAAACATACACTACTAACACCCGACTCATTGACTTTAATTGCAACTTAATAACTATGATTTTGAACACGGAACTAACCAATACAATTTGAACCTAACATAGTGGATTTAGTAATGAAGTGCGATTTATTTTGGAATTTTAAACTGTTTTAATGGAATAAATTTAGTACATTAGACTCGTTTAAGTTAGTAGTTTAGATTCTTTGTCAAATATTAATCAAAAATCTTGGTAGGAAGAACTGGCCCTCTTTAGGATAATTAATAAAGTTTGGTATTATCATGTCATGCATCGCTACTATGTACCCAACATAACATACGACTTTTTATGGATAAAATCTGTGGCGTTTGAAAATCATGTATCAATGTACATTACTAAGATAACCTAGTAATTTTATCCTTTCTTTCAATTTTAAGTGGATAGCTAATTTAGACAATGAAATAATGAGCATATTAGGCAAAACAAGTTTATAAGCTAGATAAGTTGAGGATTAAGCCGATCTTATGATTTTTGATCCAAACACTTTCTGAGACCCCAACTTATAAAAAAAGTAAGAAGTTCAAGTTATCTCCAAAACTTAAATCTTTATTATCATCGAGAAAAGACATTATCGAGAATTACCTTTAAAGATCTTACGAGCATGCGTAAGATCATGAAATAAAATTTTCAAGATCATTTGTAGATTTCCTTACATGATGAACCCAGTTTACCATAGTCAAGATCTAATATTTCAAGAGTAGACGACAACCTTTCTATGTTGTAAAAATTATGCCTCTGTTTGAGTTTTATTCTCTTCTCTTATAATTTTAATTTTCAAAATCAAATATTAATTTCAAATACACATTTCGTAAGAACCACAAGTACTATTTAATTATATGAGTAAAATTAGGATTGAACTAAATTTTTATAAGCATGACTAATACGTAGAAGAAAATAAAAATTGCACATAAAATTCTATTTACATATAAATTTTTTTTTTTTATAAAGTAATTTTGAATGGGCTCCAACCCCCTAAATACGCCTATGCCCTCTTACAAAGCACTCATTTATTGTGTATGTACGTGTGTCCATGGATTTATGATTAGTGTGTGGCTTGTACTATTGGAATTTTTATTTATGATTACGGGGGTTGATGAACAACTCATAACAAATCACAAGTTTTAGTACAAACTGTGTCGTACATTTTACAACTAAATTCGGAAGACAAATAGAAATGACTAATTTTACAATTAAAGCTCTATTTGAGATAAATTTATAATAAATAAAAATGAGTGGTGAATAAATTTGTAGTTGACATGAAATTTGACAATTTTTAAATTTATCCAAACATAGGCTAAAATATTATAAAACTGATCAAGATTTATTTGGGTTTATTATAAAATTTTAACGAAGTAAAATAATGGGCCCCACAACAAGTATTGATAATTAGTGGAAAATAAAATGAATTTCAACTTCGTGGATTGTAATGAAACTTAACAAGCTATTTTTATATATATATATTTTGTCTCATCGTATTCAATTTCCTTACCAAACATGTGTTATCATAATATATTTGATATGCTAAGATTAGACTACAAAGGTAACAAGTTTTATTACACGTATATTCTTACAAATCTTGTCATGGACATAAAATTGTCCGTGTATTAAATATACAATCAGAGTCGACCATTATCGACACAAAAAGTTGGTGATCCACTCCACCATGAGTCGGTTAGGAATTGCAGTAGTATTTGTTTACAAGTTCATTGTCTTCTTTATATTTTCATACAATGGAGGTAAGTGATGAACACTCAAAAAAAAGTAACAAAAAAATTGACTGAAATTAAAAACAATGCGACACATACTCGAAAAAGTGATATAAATTCAAAACAAGTAACAAAAAATAAAAACGTGATAAACACTAAAAAAAAGTGACGTACTCTCAAAAAGTGACACAAATTCAAAATAAGTGACAAATACTAAAAAGAAGTGATAGTTACAGAAATTTTAAAAAGCAACATACTAAAAAAAGTGAAAAGAAATTCAAAAAAGTGACTTACTCTAAAAAAAGTGACACAAATTCAACACAAATAACAAAAAATAAAAAAGTGACAAACACTAAAAAAGTAACTAAAATTAAAAAAAAAAAGTGACAAACACTCTATAAATTAACAGAAATTCAAAAAATTGACATACACTCAAAAAAAGTGACACAAATTCAATAAAACTGACAAATAATAAAAAATAAAAATTGACAAATAATAAAAAAATGATAAAAATTTTAAAAAAAGTGACAAAATCAAAACAAGTGACAAAAAAAGTGACACACACTCAAAAAGTTACAAAAATTCAAATAAGTGACGTACACTAAAAAAGTGACGATTTCGAAAAAAAATAATAGAAAATAAAAAAGTAAAACAGTTAAAAAAAAGGCAGATTTTTTTTTAAAAAAAAGTGACATATCACTTCACTTTTAAAAAATAAAATAAAAAACTTTTTGACTTATTTAAGGGTTATGTCTTCTCACTCGGGTGAGGTTATTATTATATTATCGAAGTATTAATGAAAAACTATCTCTCAAATTTAAAATTAATAAATGATTAGTTCATGATTACAAGCTGAAAATGGCCACAAGAAATAAACTTAATAATCATGGTTTAAACTTCATAAACTTCATATTTATTACCGTGTTAGTTCTAAAGTGTCTTGAGGTTATTATGCCCCTTTTTATTTATGTTAAAATCAGATTTTTAGGTGATTTTCATAAAAAAAAATTTGATAAAATATATGGTTGTAAAATCGTTGATTCATCGAAATGTGTTATTAAAATTAATTATTGAAGTTGAACTGAACTAATCATGTACTACACATTTTTTTTTTTTTTTTTAACAAATTATGAGAATTGAAATTGGATATGTTTTGGCATACTTTTACAGAAAGCTTTGCCTGAATTATGCAAACAATTGTTTCTGAGAATTGTTCAAGACTTGATGATGCAGGGGGATCCGAGTCAGATGAGGTCGAGCTATCTGATAGTTCGTTAATGGCGCTGAGATACCATGAGTTGGCGGATCAGCGCAAGAATGGCAAGTAATTATCGATCTTTCCTAATTGGGGCTGCTTTTGGACACGTTTAGGTATTTTGGCCATAACTTTGGCTACGGTTGTCAGAATTACGTCCATGACCCCAATTCGAAAAGCTCTTTCCGGTGTGTACGTCGTGGGACCCAACTATGCTCGGTGTGCATCGGTTTCGAGGTCAAATTCACCTGTTTTCCCGTCCGAATCATCAATTTAAGTTATTTTTTGTTATTTTTAGTAATATTTCGATTTCCTTTTTGACATAGATTACGATATCAAATTTAGTCAGATTTTTGAAATTTTCTTCCTTTCATTACGTATTTCGTTTTGGTATGAATAATAGAATTTTGCTATTTTTGGCAAAATTCCGATAATTAATATTTTCTAGCTATTTAACCCGAATTGTGGGTTACTTTCGTTCAATTGTTGAATAATAAAGAATTTTCTCGTTTCTCTTGCGTTCTTCTCTGTATTTGTTAATTAGTTCCAGCCTGCAGAATAATCACTATTCTGCCCGGAGTCAGTTGATAAATGTATTCCCCCAAAATTAGGTAAGTATTTTTTATTTTATTTTATTATTTTTTTCGGATTAATAGCAAAAAACCCCCTACAAACGTTTTCATTTGCGATACACCCTCCTATTTATTGGAAATAGCAGAAAATCCCATATTTGAAACCTTTTGTGCGAAAAAGTAATAATTGCAATTTTAGTATCCAAACTTCTTATTATTTTACAAATTATATTTCTTCTCCTCATTCCAAATATGGATCTTTGTGGTGAGAGATTTAGGAGCTAAGGCCTAAGAAAAGTGTTTTTGACTATCAATTTGAAGTTTCTTAGAGAGAGATTATTTAGTATGAGTGTTTTTATTTTTTCAACTGAAAATTTGACCGTGGGAGGTTTTTCGGACAAAATGGTTTTTGAAGTATTCTCGTCGGAGATAATATTATAAATCAATGGTTTAGAAATTGGGTCAGATACTGATTCGAAAAAGTAAAAGATCAAGGTAAAATAGTCGAAACGAGATCATACTAGTTGTTAACAATTCAGAAAAATAAAAAAATAATACTTTAGCCCAGTTTAAAGGTGAATCAGAGTGGTTCAGTTTTTGATAACATTGATTCAAGTAAATACAATTATCATATATATAAGAATTGAAGCTTCTAAATGCAATAGTTCAACATATAACTAAAGCAAGAAAATATCTTGGTTTCACCTATATTTGATCAAATAAATGAATGCATTCCATCTCAAATAACTTGAACTTTTAGACAGCATGGTTGAACAATCACATATATTAACGTTTGCTTGATAAAATTTGGAAATAAGCTATCTGTGCCGTAATACTTGTAAGCTAATTATGTACAATACCGTATAACTTTTTAACTACTTCTATAATGGAGAAAGTAACAGACAAACCTAAACTGAAAATTGACCAACTGCACCAGTATTGTCTCCCTCTCATACTTCCTCTCTTTCTACTCTATAAATATCCAGACTTTACACTCAATTTTCATCTCAATTCTTTCTTTCTTTAACACTTTTAATTCTACATTCAGAATCATTTTTAATGTTGAGAAAAATGGCTCAGTTCAAAATCTTGTCCATGGTGTTCACTATATTTGCGTTTGCCCCTCTTTCTAGCTTCTGTTACAGTACCAATGTTGGTTATCTTTACCCGCAGTTCTACGATAGGTCATGTCCACAAGCACGAGAAATTGTTAAGTTGATTGTTGCCAAGGCCGTAGCAAAAGAGTCTCGTATGGCTGCTTCATTGCTGAGGCTCCATTTTCATGACTGCTTTGTCAAGGTTTGCATTGATAATTGCTTATGTGCTCCATTTAATATTTATTTTGTACACTTAGGATAATATTCAATATGCACTTTAGTCATTCATGACTTATTGACGAATATCTATGAAGATTTCCTGGTCACGAAGGTTATCTAAAGGATGGTTGTTATTGTTGTCGGAAATTCGACTATCCCAATCGAAAGAACAAATAAAAGAGCAGGAAAAACGGAAAAAAGAAGAAGATGAAACGAGGTATGCCAAAGCAAATCTCCTTAAGACAGATTTCGCCCCCCAACAACGTGCAAACGGGATTATGGACGTCTGTCTCCCAAGATACAACGTTTTTCCCAAAGTCGATATTGCACAATACCAACCTTGACGGTCGAACCAAATAATGATCGTACTCGAACGAAATAATCACGAAAATATCGAATGAATTTTAGCAGAATATGGAGCGAGAAGAATTTAGAAATCAAGAATATATTAATTGATTTTGGTGTCCTAAAAACAAATTTGGAGGTCTCTATTTATAGAGATTGAAGTGCCTCCTTGAAAGGGTGTGTAACATTTCATGACCTGGTGCACCACTTGATCTGATCTGTTTTAGCCATTGGATCGCACTCTTTCATAATCTGACGGACCAGATTAAACCACGAAATGTAGTGTCCATTCATCATGCCTATTCACCAATTCTGAACAGTCACCTGCCATGCAGTTGCCACGCGTACGTCCAAC